AGGACCAGAAGAGATGCCCGACGCATACTCATTAAAAATACCCCCTTGCTCACGGTCATGTCCCGAAAGTCCTGCTGGATTGCCTCCGAAAACATTCTTCTTAATATCACTACCTCCCTCACCGCCTTGCCCATCTGGTCCAGGAGCTCTTCGATGATCTACTGCCTGCAAACCGGGAGGAGGCTGAATCGCTTGGCCCTCAGAACTTCCATAGCGTCCTGTTACTCCAACCAAATCACTCCTTGGAGGGCTCTGACTACGCGTTCTCAGAATACCCCCTTGCTCACGGTCATGTCCTGAAAGTCCTGGTGGATTGCCCCGAAGCACCCCTCGAAGATGCGAAGGCCGTTCACCTCCATCACCCTCGCCATGTCCACGAAGTACACCAAGATTTCCTCCAGGTACATTCCCCCGAACATCTACATGCGTTCCTTGACCTGTCCACACATTACTGCCACCCAGAGGTCCAGAAAGATTGCCGATAGACTCGACCCGTGTATCAAAGGACACTCCTGCCCTTCACCACTTCGACCTCGCGGTCCTCCTGGATTTCCTTCGGGTACATTATAAGGTGCTTGCTGAAAAACATGACCCCCTTGCTCACGGTCGTGTCCTGAAAGTCCTGCTGGATTGCCTTCGAAACGCCGTTGATCGTGCCCGCTTGGGCCCCCAGCACTTCCCCGACCTTCAAGAGGATCATCTCGTAAACCAACATTGTCCATATGGCGTCCCGAAGAAGCCTCCTTGCGAAGCCGCTCCAGTTCCAGTCGCAACTGCTGGTTCTCATGCATTACTTCCTTCTGACGTTCCATAGCCTGTTCCACTTGACGACGGACTTCTTGCTCCAACTGGTCTCTGGTGTAAGATGCCGATGAGTCTGAACCTCCTCCTTGAGACACCGCCCCGTACAACTGGGGTGCCCCAGCTGTAAGCTCGTGTAAACGCCTCGCCTGGGCCCGATCAAAAAGGGGCTCTGTCTCGGCCTGTACGCCAGCTCGCGCCGTCGGAGACCAAGTCGTCTGCTCCTGCATCACCGTGGTGTGTTCCCCTGGACGGGACTGCGTCACATAAGCTGCCCGTCGTTGCACAAACTCGCCTAGCTTAGCCACCCACCTCATAGCCGCTGCTCCTTGTTGCACTAGGTTCAAGCTTGGAGACGACTCCGGTGATGCCATAGCCTGCGCAGTCGGTGATGGAAATGGAGAGGGCAAAA